AACTTGTGAAATGGTCTTTGGTGAATTCATGGACTTAGTGAGTAAAACAGAAGATACTTGGGTCGTACAAATCTATTTATTACTAGAGACTCAGCAGTATGATTTCTTGATTAATAATTTGATTTGTACCCTATCTTTCTACCAAGAAAATTACATTCGAGACATTACAATCATACACAGGTCAGAATTAAAACAATACTACCACAAATTCAGTAAAGCATAATTAAATACACCATGATAGGCATCAAAGCAGCACCTGCCAACAGACCCACTTATATGTCAAAGGTCTGCTTGAATAAAATGGTCTTTGCCAGCTGGCAAAAGAATGGCAGAACAGGAACCAACTGAGCCACCATTAGCTGGGAGTTCCAGAGCTGGAGAGTAAACTCTGAGAATGCCCTCTCTCATGTTGTCAAATCTGAATAGGATATAGTGACCTGTGCATGATCATGGCCTGCTCAGAAATGGGTGCAGTTGGTGTCCTGGCCTCAGCATCCAGGTTCAGGAGTACACCCAAACCACAGGCCTGAATCTTCAGGAGGACTGTAGCTCCATCCAGCACTAGTTGAGTACTAATTCCTTGATCTGCTTTCCAACTAACCGGAATCTGTCTTCTATCTAACCACCACTGTCTTCTCTGGATTAAGCTTCAATGTGTTCACCCTCATCTAGGCCATTCCTGACCTGAGACCAACCATACCAGCACACTTTCTCCCACAGGGGTTAGCCAGATGCCTCTAGGAACCTCAGAGAGTGGGCATAATGGAGGTAGCTATTCCTGTCTGTCCATCCAGTACCAACAGAAGTATCTTCCGTGCCTTTGTCTATTCTTTCAGTACACCGTTTAAGATAGCAGCGGACACTTATGCCTGAAGAAAAACTTTTTAGTTGTTCTCATCTGTTCTACTTTCTCTGTTTCCCATCCTAATTACTGCTATAAATATTCCTCAGTAGTAATATGCATGTTCATTGCCAATGGAGCCATGAGTTTTTTCTCACAGTAAATGAGCAGAGATGTATTAGAAGGGCATGCTGCTATTATTATGGCTCCATAGCTGTGTGTTTCTGGGAGTATTGCCCAGTAATAATAATAAGCAAACCTGGAAGAGAGTAGGGAATGAGTGCAGGCTGCCAACCTAATTATTCAATCAAAGAGCTTTGCCTGACAATATGGTCTCCTTCTGAGCCAGTTTAAGGGAAAGGCAGCTGCATTCAACCACAGGAGGCATACAGGTGGACAGTGTTAAGAAAGAAGGACCAAGAAAATAGGCTGTTCTTCCGAGCGTTTCGTAAGAACACAAGAAGAGTCATGCTGGATCAGACAAAGGGTCCCTCTAGTCCAGCTTTTTGTTCACACAGCAGCCCACCAGCTGTTCCGGGAAACCTGTGAGTAGGATGTGAGTACAACAGCACCTGCCCACCCATGCTCCCTGGCACCTGGCACACTCTCCCTTATACTGGAGGTAGTATATAGCCTTTGGGGCTACTAACCACTGATAGCCTTATCTTCATGCATTTGTCCAATCTCCTTTGAAAGCCAGCCAGAATGGTGGACATCCCGACAGCTTGTGGAAAGGAACTGCATAGTTTATCTATGTGCTGTGTGAAGTTGCACTTCCTTCCATTTGTTTTGAATCTCCCACCAGTCAATGTCACTGGATCAACTCTAGTATTATGAGGGATAAAAAGTTTCCTTATCCACTTTTTCCACACAATGTATAATTCTGTGCACTGGCATCATGGCCTTCCTTTACTCACCCTTTTTCTAAGCGAAACAATCCTATGACGTTCCATGGAATCTGTCCCTCCAGCGTTCCCAGGTTTCCTCTTGTGCTCAGCCCTGCCTAGGAAAGTGAATCAAGCCAAGAGGAAGTCCGTGAATGCTTGCCCAAGAAAGCTTGCACAGCCTGGTACCGTCTTCTGCATCATGTGCAGCGGCACAAAGAGCACTGCATGTGGCGCAGACGAGGGACTATGGTTGCGCAGCATCTGCACTGGGCTCATTTCCTGATGAGTGTTGCATGAACACTGCCTGTGCTCACCACGAACGTAGGCACACAGCCCTGTCAAAGTGGCCTGGAGTCCAAGGAGATGCGCCCACGTAATCTATAAGATTTCCTCCCCAAAACTGATTTGTCACACATCCCTAGAGTAACCTTTTCTTGTCAGGGAATTACTTCAGTCCCTTGATCATTTTATTTGCCCCTTTCTGCATTTTTACAAGGTCCTTTTTTTAGGTGCAGTGACCAGAACTGTTCACATTATTCTATGTGCAGTCCACAGATTTATATAAAGGCAGTATGATCTTGGTAGTTTCATTTTTTATTCTTTTCCAATATGGAATTTGTCTCTTTCACAGCCACTGCACTGTGGGTTGATGTTTTTATCAAGCTGTCCACCAAGACTCCACAGATGTCTTGGTCAGTTGCTGCTAACTCAGCATCAGATTACACTTGAAGTTGGGATATTTTTGCTCCAGTGTTTACTCCATTTTCTTACATGGACCTGCATTTGCCATTTTGATGCTCTTCATTCTTTCTAGTACATCTCGCAATCTCTTTTTGTTTTAACCTCCCAGAATAAGTTGGTGTCATCAACAAACCTATTTATTCCATGACTACTAAGCATTTCAGAAATCCAAGTAGCTGATGATGACCCCAGCCATAAATTTATTAACTCACAAAGAACTCTAAATGATAATGAGACAGGACATACCTTTGTAGAAGCCATGCTGATTCTTTTTCAGCAGGGTTTGTCCTTCTACTCATTTTCTAATTTTAACGTTCATAAAGGTATGAACTAATTTAACTAATTTCAACTAATTTATGCAGAACAGATTTTAAACTAACTGTCTTGTAATTTCCCAGATTACCCCCCCCCACTCCCCAAAAAATTCCTTTATAAAAAGATGTGTTACATTGGTAACTTCCTAGTCCTCTTGTACAGAGGCTGACCTTAGGGGACCTATTTTCGTTGGAAGACCAACAATTTCATATCTGAGTTCTTTATGAAACAGTCCCATGAACACAAGGCAACAAGCTCCGCAAAGTGTTTTATTTCACTTCTTAATATCTGCTTGCTTCTCCTTGGTGCAAACTCATGCTCCTTTTTGTTTTCCTTCTTTGGGCAAGACTCTATTTTCTGAAGGATACCTTCTTCTCCCTAATTGCTTACTTGACCTTGGTGCTATTCCCCCAACCTGTGGAATACATTCTAGCTGAGCTTCTATTATAACAATTTTGAATAACTTTCAAACATTTTGAAAGGATTTAACCCTCTTGCCCTTTTTATCAAGACTCTCATTTTAGAGAAGTTTCCTCTTCTGAAATCAAATGTGGCTATGCTGGACTTCCTTGGCAATTTGCCACCTAAATATGTATCTGATCGTGACTACTCTTTCCAGTTGGTTCAACAATATTTCTAGGGCACCGTTGTTTAGAATGTCAATATTTTTCTTTATTGTAACTGGGACATTCATTTCCAGACAATGCAGGAGCAATTGAAGTTACTGTTATGACAATATTTATTTGTTTAATATCACCTTGAGCATTCTGGTCTGAGGCACTGGATATCCCTCTCAGACAGAACAGCCCCAAATCTGAAGGATTATCAGTTTTGTGCCTGGTGGGGTGGAAAAAATGTGAAAGGAAGACTGGAAGCAGAAGCCTTGGTGAAGTAGAAGCTTAAAAGCCTCCTGAAGAAAAGCCATGAAGGTGAGGCATGTGTGCTCAGTAGGATCTCAAGTATAAAGTCAAGGCTTATTCTGACTGGAAGGTCCTGTTTCAGTACACATGATCAACTGGATTCTTATGTTTCTGACTATAGTAAACAATGTCCATTAAGGAAATATGTTGTTGGAACAATTTGCCCAGAACATAAACCTTGCCATGCCTTGTGCAAACACAGGGATGTTACTTCTTCCTGGAACTGGTCCTCATCATGTATATTCTTTTCTGCCTTTACTGGGAACATACAACCAACCACCCCAGCTCAATTCTTTCCTAATCACCATTCAGAAGGAACTGCTGTATTCCATGAACCATTCCTTCAGCATGTTCCCAGTGCAATTATTTTAGTACATCCCATTTTATTGCATCCAGTGCCATAGCTAGGGTTGGACTTTGCAGCCCTAGTCCAGGGCCCTGTGGACACCCCCCTCCCCCAAATGACCACCCGGAGTGTGGCAGGTGATGGCATTAGAAGAACACTCCAAGGTGCTATGATCTGAGTTTAAAATGAAATCTGCATACGCTAAGAGCGTTCTTTAAAACAAAAATCTGGCTTGGCAAACAATTTCATTTTGTTCTAATGTATCATCAGAGTTAGGGTTAGGGTTCTAATGTATACATTATATTATATAATGTATTAGTTCTAATGCATACATACAGTTCTAATGTATCAAAATGCAGAAACAATTCCAAGGGATGGCTGTTCAAGCAGTGCTGGGAAGAAATATTAGCTGCGTGTTACACACATGGTCGTCTAAAGGGGACAACAGCCTCATACAACTGTTACATCCAGGGTCTAACATTACCTAGCTAGACCACGGATTGCGTCCTCTCTTTATATGAAGGAAAGGTGTAATTGTAGGCTCTTGCTGCGCATGCAAAAACTGAGTACGGCTAGGCTACCAAAGACACAAAAACAGCTGTTTTAAGCCGCTGCTGCTGCAGAATTCGTCGGGCTCAGTTTCCTCCTCGTGAAAGAGGCTTAAACGAGCTAAGCAAGCTATACACACACGCGACGTTTCCCATCTTTGCAGCCGCTTTCCATCTTTCTCATTTGCACCTGCTCTGTGAACTTCCGGCCGAAGAAAACAGCCGTCAGGCACCAGAAAAAAAGCCCGCCCTTCTTTTCTTCCTCCCTCCTCCCCGCCAGCCACCCCAGACCAGGAAGCGGGCGACACGTTTGAGAAATCCGGTTTTCCTTGCGCCGGTGGGTCATGGCGCTGCTCGGGGCGAGCTGGGTGGCCGAGGCGCGATGCCGCTGAAGGCGCCGCGGGCGCCGCGGGGGCGCAGGGTCACCATCTTGAATATGCTGAAGCCGCAGGTAGTCCAAAACTCCTCCTCCGGGGCGAAGGAGATCGGCGGCGGTGGGTTTCTTTCCAGTGGGTGGTACTACGCAAATCAGGTGAGCAAACCTCGGACTAGTTATAAAGGCTCCTCAGTCCGCAGCGCGGGAGCATCTCTCATTTTGATCTCAGGGCAGACCTTACCTCGAAGTGAACTTTGCAAGCCAGGAGAAGACCCTGCAGTCCGAACAAGCCTTCCTTTTAGGCACGACTAGGTACTAAAACAGCTGCTTATGCCGGATGGACTTGCGGGAGTATTCACAGGGTTGTATTGATACTAGCACAAGAGCATCGCCTTGCACTATAGCGTACACCGGTCTGGCCCAGCTTGGTGTCCTACAGCAGTTTTAGACTACAATTCCCAATATCACTTGTGGGTTCTGCGAGTTGTAGTCCAACATATCTGGGTGGGGGTCACCTCTTGAAGAAGGTTGACATATAGGATAATCCAGAGCCCCCTTACAAAATTAGTGTACAGGACCCTTTGATACTAGCCATTCTGTTGGATTATGTGCAATTCTTGCTGGAAAATGCTCCATATTAATCACTTACGGATGTTTACCCCCCCCCCCCTTGTGCACCTATGGATGCTTAATAGCACCAAACAACAACAAGATATTGTAGAACTGGAAAAATGTAGAAAGGGGCAACTGAAATGATTTAAGTGGCTGAAACAACCTTGAGAAATGGTTACAACAGCTGGGATTGTTCAGGATAAACGGCAAATAAGGAGAGAAGTGATAGTAGTGTACAGAATTACTCACAACACGGAGAGAAATTTTTCTCCCCACCCTCATAATACTAGAACCTGAAGGTGAGAGATTTATCTTTAAACTGTAGAATTAACTTGTACAAGAAGGCCTTTAATTTGGATGGCTTTGAAAAGGGATTGAAAGAATTCTTGGAGTAGAGGGCTATCAATAGCCACCAATCCTAGTAGTTATATGCTACCCTCAATATCAGAAGCAGTATGCCTACCTAAGCACATTGGTGGGAAACATGGGTGGGAGGAAGATGTTCTTTTCATAGCCCTTGAACACCTGGATGGCCACTGTGCAAACTGGTTGCTGATCTAGTTGGACCTTTGTTCTGGTCCTCCAAGGCTTTCACTCAGACATAAGTCCCGTTGCCTCGAGTGGGATTACTTTCCAGTATGTGTCAAGGACTGCAGCCTCAGAAGCCAGCATCCTTTCAGCATGAAAGAACCAGTAACCCCCCACCCAAAATATCCCCTTCTTGCCTGTTTCCCAAGGTGGAAATGGTTTCAGCACTAGATACTGGGGAAGAACTAGTTACTGGTGGGTGGCACACGGAAGCTGCTGCCCTACATCGCAGTTACCAGTAGTGTTTTCTGTAAATGGAATGCCTGAGGGGAATGCCTGATGTCACATGCCCACATAGGGGATATTGGGAATTGTAGTCTAACACATCTGGAGAACACTGGGTTGGGGAAGGATGTCTTGGTTTATTATTAAAGATGACTGCCTGTGGAATATGGGTAAATAGCACAGTCTTTCCATCGTGAAAGGTCACAATGAGGTCAACAAGGAACACTCGTGTGTACTCAGAATGTGAATAATAAGGGCACATATACAGGAGTTCTCATAGCTACCTTTCCAATGTAGAATTTAAATTCCCTGGAAAATTACCGGAGTGTGAGCTTCTCCATCTCCATTGCCTCCTCAAAATGCCATCCGGTGGAGCTTTTTTGAGTGGTGCATGGCCTGGTTTATCCTGGTCCCAAGAAAGATCTGGTTTCACCCTCGAAGGCCCACTGTGATGACTTTGCCAAGAATTTCAGGGAGAAAATTGCTCAGATTCGTCACGAGCTAGACTCTACTAGTGACTCAGAGGTTTCTGGGGAGATACCAATGCCGCCGCCTGGTCCAAAATTAATGGATGAATTTCAGTTATTGCAGCCCGATGATGTGGACAAGGTGCTTGGACGAGTACGTCCCACCACTTGCCTATTGGACCCTTGCCCGTCTTGGTTAATAAATAACGCCAAGCACGGGATTGGGATCTGGATCTTGGAAGTGGTTAATGCTTCTCTGAGGGAGGGTCGGGTACCTGCCTCTTTAAAGGAGGCGGTAGTCCGACCGGTCCTGAAGAAAGCGTCACTGGATCCAGAGATGGCCACTAATTATAGACCAGTGGCCAACATCCCATTTTTGGGCAAGGTGTTGGAGCGGGTGGTGGCGGTTGATGAAACTGATTATCTGGACCCATTTCAGTCCGGCTTCAGACCCGGGTATGGTACTGAATCTGCCTTGGTCACCCTGTATGATGACCTGTGCAGGGAGAAGGACAGGGGGAGTGCGTCCCTGTTGGTTCTTCTGGACCTCTCAGTGGCTTTCGATACCATCGACCATGGTATCCGTCTGGATAGGCTAGCGGGAGTGGGGGTCGGAGGCACTGCTCTGCAGTGATTCCGCTCTTATCTCAATGACCGTTTCCAGAAGGTGGTGCTGGGGGACTATGGCTCTGAGCCATGGCAGCTATGCCATGGAGTACCGCAGGGGTCCATTTTGTCCCCTTTGCTGTTTAACATCTACATGAAACCACTGGGAGAGGTCATCAGGAGGTGTGGGCTGCGGAATCATCAGTACGCTGATGATACCCAGCTCTACCTCTCGTTTTCCACCAATCCAGGTGAGGCAGTGGCTGTGCTGAACCGGTGCCTGGCCGAGGTAATGGGCTGGATGAGGGCCAATAAAGTGAAGCTCAATCCAGACAAGACGGAGGTCCTGTTGGTCGGTGGATTGGGCTTCGGTGAGGTTGAATTGAACCTAGTCCTGAATGGGGTTGCACTCCCTCTTAGGGACAAGGTCCGCAGCTTGGGAGTGCTCCTCGACCCAGAGCTTTCACTGGAAGCTCAGGTGACAGTGGTGGCGAGGAGCGCTTTCTTTCAGCTTCGGCTGATCCATCAGCTGTGCCCCTACTTGGAGTACGACTGCCTGGTGACAGTGACACATGCGTTGGTGACTTCCCGACTTGACTTCTGCAACGTGCTCTACGTGGGGCTACCCTTGAAGATGGTCTGGATACTTCAATTGGTTCAGAATAGAACTGCCAGGCTGTTGACGGGGACTGGGCGTTATGCTCACATGACTCCAGTCCTCCGTCAGCTTCACTGGCTTCCCATTGAAGTCCGGGCCCAATTCAAGGTGTTGGTGATCACTTATAAAGCCCTGGGTCCTGGCTACCTGAAGGAGAGCTTACGTCCATATATGCCCGCCCGCCCCCTGAGATCAGCGGGAGAGGCCCTTCTCCAGGAACATTCCGTGAAGGAATTTAGGAGTTTAGGTACTCAGAGGAGGGCTTTCTCTGCGGTGGCGCCCAATCTATGGAATGTGCTCCCCAGAGAGGTCCGTCTGGCACTGTCATTATTTGCTTTTCGGCGCTAGGCGAAGACCTTTTTATTCAAGCGTCATTTTAATTGTTAATGTTATTTTTATTTTAAAGTTTTTTGGCCAGTGCAACTTATTTTATACAGGTATGTGTATTTTATATTGTTATTTATGTATTTTAATTTATTTATTTGTAAGCTGCCCCGAGGCTTCGGCGAATGGGGCGGCCTAGAAATTTTCTAAATAAATAAATAAATAAACATTAATGCACATCTGTCCAAAGTTCAGATTACTAGGATCCTGCTGATTAGAATTCGTGCACCTCAGATAGGATATTGTGGAACTGGGAAGGCTGGAGAAAAATGGGAATCAAAATAGTGAATGGGCTTGGGCAAAGGTTTACCTGTTTGGGGCTTTTTTAGCTTAGAAAAAGGGCAAGTAGGGGGAGACATGGTAGAGGTACATATACTGATCCATGATGTGGAGAAAGTGGGTAGGGAGAAAAATATCCCCCAAGTCACTTATTCCACACCATCGGCAATTATCTCAGTCTCATAACACCAGAAGTTGGAGTCATTGATGAGTTGTACACCTGGACCCTAGACCTAGGGTGGATGCCTTTAGATGGTTGTGTGCATTACCTCAGTTATGAAAAACTATTTGCCAGACCTGATAACAAATATTTTGAGCATTTGCAACATCAGATTTTAGACTTATTTAAATCATAGCAGCAGCATGACTACTGGAATAAACTGGAGTTTGCTTCTGCTGCCCCGCTGCTTAACATATTAACTTGGAAATAGGCACCCTTTTGTTGCAAAAGCAGCATAGTGACTTGTGGCATTTCAGAATAAATGTGTCGATCTTCCAGGTGGCACAGAACTATTTTTGCTACAATAGATTAGCAGGTTTCCCCCTGAAAATGGCTTCATTTTGTTGCAGATACTGATGAGCTAGAATTGAAATAAAGATATAAAAACAAACATCTGTAACAAGGTACATGTCTGGCTGGCTACCCCTTGACTGTAAAATGTTCCTTTGAACAGTAAGAAAGAAAGGCTGCAACAAAAAGCCCCTACGGTGCTGCTCCCCCGCTTTTGTGGGCAGACCTGTTTCCCGCTGCCCCGTTCCGTCGCCTTTTGGGGCAGCTCTTTGAAGGCTCCCCAGACGTTCGTGTCTTGGACTTTCATGTCCAACATCGTTTCTAAGAAAGTGGATGGGTGGGCAATTAAAGACCGGCCTTTCACACAGTGCATAGTTAAATTATAGGATTCTCTTCCACGCAATGTAGTGACAGCCACCGATCTGGATGGCTTAAAAAGAGGACGAGAGAAGTTTGTGGAGGCGAAGTCTGTCAGTGGCCCCTAACTGTGAAGGCAACATGGTATCTCCAGTGTTCCAGCCAAGGCTCTGTATGTCATTTGCAGCCGGGGCTGAGGGTGCTTTGCACTTTTGTCCCACTTGGGGATTTCCAATAGGCATCTGAATGGCCACTGTGAGAACAGAATGATGGACTATGTAGTTCTTTCATTTGCATCAGCACAGCTCCCCTGTATGGATTGGGAAGTTAAGCATGTGCTTATCCTTTGTCATTGAAATCAGAGGAACTTAAGTATAGTTACATTTTCTTGGGTAATGCCTATAGGGTTTTTACATTTTAATTGGCCCTTTAAATATCTTCTGAGTTTTATCTTTGTTTTAGTGGTCCACTGTAATTCTTGTGTCATGTGTTTTCCCATGCTGATATTTCCATCCTCACTCCATTGGGAATGGGGTGTAATATATATCAAAATATTTTTTGCGATTGTCTAAAAGCTGTTAAATGTCCAGTTGGTGACTCCGATACCAGAAGAGCTAAGAAGCTCATGAAGAGAGTACTTTATCCTGTTGCTGTTTCTGCTTCGCCTCAACAGAAAAAAAGAAACAATCTCCCTGATTGTTTGCTTAAAATTCTTATCAATTCTACATTGCAATGTTTATTATGCCATTTCTTACTATTTACTTGATTTCTATACCACCTGTTATCCAAGATGGTTCTCTATACATTTTATAGTGTTACTATACATATTATTGCATTTACTATCTATCTCCCATGCATCTCAATGCTGATACTATATCCCTTTCAGTTGTCCAACCATTTTTGTTGAAAGAATAATGTTGTGGACTTCACCACATTACACCTGATGAAGTGTTTTCCTTTTGAAACATGAGCCGCACTGCATTATAGATGGATTTCCCATTACTTTGTACACATATTCTGTGGATTGGAAAGCATGAAAACGTACTACTGAAACCTTCCCTGACCTGGCTGGACAATTATTGGCACTGTAGTCCCAACATATCTGGGGGGTACCAGTTTGGGGAAAGCTCTACTATTCTGAGTGGCAGCTCAGCTCTCTTTTATCATGGGTTTTTGAAAGAGTCTCATCTTTAATTCATTTTGAACCTGAAGCAAGTTATTTTAAAACATTTTATGAACATTCTGGGTAATTATCTTGTCCTTTTTGCTGCTGTATATGTAATCTGCAAGCTACATTTACCAATATAAAACTTATGTTGGATTTCATCCATCTTTCTTCTCTTAGGTAAAACTTTGATATGAAATCCAGTTGGATTCAATCCAGCTTTTTCTTAAGAGAAACAAAGAGAATTGGGTTTAATCTGATTTGTTGCTTCTGAAATGTAGATAGGAACTGTGACAGAATGCAGGTTGTTGAAACATGCATGATAAAAAATCTTAATGAATGATCAGCTTTCCTTAAGCACTTGTACCATTAGGGTCTTGAGAACAGAGAAGAATTGGATTGGAAACTATGCCTTGGTTCTATACATTTTTTGAAGAGCAGTGAACACCAGAGAAGAATTAAGGTGGATTGCACCTAAAACCTAGAGGTTTGGGGGGGTTATAAAATGAATGAAAGTATATAAATATTTACTTTCCTTTTTGTAAACTTGCTTTAACTGTACTTGAATATTTTTGGTTTTGTTTGTTTATTTGCAGAGTTTGCTCTTGGGTGTCTTGTTAGCAATTGCAGGAAACTTTCTCATCAGCATCTCTTTGAATCTGCAGGTATGAAAACCATCATTGTATTATGGATTGCAATGAGATTAAAACTCCAGAACTATATACAGGCTATAATATTTAATGTTGGTTCATAGTACATTGACAAAACGCATCATTGAGCTACTTGGTTACATTATGATATGTTGTTAGGGATTTTTTAATTTACTTGTAAAATCAAGACCCATGTTTAAAATTTCTTTTTAATTTTAAATGTTGATATATTTTATGACTTCAAACATTTCATTCTGCTACATGTGATGACCACAGCATACTGCTAGCCTTTTCTTTATATCTTATCCTATATAATAATTTATTTATTTTCTCTATGCTAAGCCAATGCTCCTAAAGTGTAGGAGCCTCATATCAAAATTGCTCTATGAATAAAGGTACAATTATGTGCGAACTTAAACAGAAAAAGGCCTACAACTCCCAGCACGCCCCAGCTAGCCATTACATATTTCAAAAAGTTATAGTGAAATGCAAGCAAAAAACAATGAAAATGTGGGAAAAGAGAAAAACAATAGGTTATACTGCATACCGATGAGCTACATGGTTGCAGTGGATACATATGGAATGTGTATGTGTGTAAATATCGCTATATTTAGGTGTCATCTAAATACCAGGAGAATTGAAAGTAGTCAAAAAGTTGTTGAAAGGAGTCAATAGGCCTTCGGTCCATTGCATTATTGAGGGTGCCTATTCATGCTTCCTTTTGCGTTTTGTCTAAACTTGCATAGGATTGTTCTTTAAGAGACATAAGGCATCCCATTTTCCCTCTGCCTCTGTGCCTCCTTAACAGTTGCCACATTTCCCTCCCTTCGAGCCCTGTAGCTTACAATATTAAGACAAAATGTCTGAAAGTGAGCTGAGAATTGGCATGCTGTGCAGAGAGATGATCGGATTACTGCTCTGCCATGAAAATCGATCCTTACTACACACCCAGTAATCCTCATCCTGCAATACGGATCTTTTGACTACAAATTTGAGCGTCATGGTTCCCATGTGAAGCCTGCTGGAAATTGCTTCTGCATGGCCATACTCAACACAATAGGTCTACCATTTGAAAACAGCTTTCCATATCATTTCACCCTAATCACGTTTCAATTTTCCATGCCAGCGGGGCCCAGTTCTTGGCTGTTGTTGATACCCATGTGGGGAGAATCTCCACACAGTGAGATTGTACTCCATGGAAATCAGCCTTCCGCATCTGTTGTTAACCTTATGTGGAATGGCACCTTGCAGAAGTGATTCTTGGTACACAGGGAGCATGACAAATGAAGATTTATCGCAACTTTGCGTATGTTCCGGTACACAGACAAACACAGATTTAAAAGGGACTCAGGATATCTGGTGTATAGTCCCTGCTCAGCACAGAATCCACTGCGTGACTTCGGGCCAGTGACAACCTACCTCACAGGGCTGTTGCTGTGAGGATGAAACGGAGAAGAGGAGGAAAACCTTTAAGCTGCCTTGAGTTCCTTGACAGGAAAAACGGTGGGATAGAAATACAATAAATAAAACATACATCACTGATTACATCAAGTCAAGTTCTTTATGACTCTAGTCCAATATTATCTATTCCAAGGGTTGCCAACCGTTTTGACTCAGTTGTAGGTGCACTCACAGCATGGATGCCACAGGGAGCAAGTTCACTCGCAAGACGGCTGCAAACTGTGGCCTGTCATAAAATACTTATTTTTCAATAGATAAACTGCTGCCTAAATATCCTGCTGAAGAACCTAAGTAAGGGACAGAATTAGGTCTGAGATGCAAAATACAAAACCACTCATTTGAACCCAAACAGAAATGATGTCTGAGGACAACCTTTGGCTTTGTAGTATGTCGGTCTGCCAGTTAAAGACATTTTTAAATTAAAGGCAGTCATGGTCTTAAGAAGCAAAATGCAGTTCAGGAGGGGGATGGAGCCTAGTGGCGGCCAGGAAAGATGTTCTTGAGCACCTCATTTGAGAGCCCTCACCTGCTCGGACTAGCAGCAGCACTTGAAGGATGCAGGCAGCTGTCTTGCCCATCACTAGCTCCCTGGCCCTGCTCCTGGTCCCAAAGCCTCATATAAAAGGTGAGGCTGTCAGGAGAAATATTGTGCCCAACTCTTGCCAGCAGACTGTGGCACGTGAATGGAAAGCTTCATATAACATTTGTGTGGTCCAGCAACCTGACTGTTCAGCTTTCTAGGCCTTTGGCCAGAATGGATGGATGACAAGAGTGAGAAGTACATGAGTGTCAATTTGCTAGTCAGAAAGATATACTACTTCTAAAGATGTACTACTTCTCCTACTTTATTTAGATGTATATCCTGCTTTTTTCTTTCAACAAACTCAAAGCAACTTATCTCATTCTCCTTCTGCTGCTCTCAAGCTTATCCCCACAACAACAGCCCTGTAAGGTAAGGTTCGGCTGAGAGTCTATGACTGGCCCAAAGTCACCCAGTTGGCTCCACAATTTAATGGGGATCAAAATCTGGATTGCCTGAGTCTCAGCCCCACTTTCTTAACCACTATGCCATACTGGCTTTCTAGAAATTGTTTTTATTCCTTGTACAGTAACAAAGTATTGGGTTGTAGCCTTTTGTGAATAAATAACATTTTGAAAGTACTACTTCACTGATTCACTGAAGATTCTGTTAGCAGATATGCGAGGACTGAAAGAACCAAGTCACCTCCCCATCTTTCTATGAGTAGACCATTTAATCTGGCTTAAAGACGTCTAGATTCACTCCAAACAGAATACAAAATATAAATATACATGCATATTATTATTTAGAGGAGGCTGGAGGGAGCTGTCTCCCTCCAGATTTTGTGGAATGACAACTCCTATCATCCCTGACCATTGGCCATGTTGGCTGGGGCTGATAGAAATTGGAGTCCAACAATACTTGGGGATGCCAGTTCCTCATACCACTAATTTAACATGTCTAGGTAAAGAACGCAAATATTTCAGTCTTTTTTGTTTGTTTAAGTCACACAATTTAACAATTAGTTGATTCTGGAGGTGATGGATCAACTGCTCCATCCGCACTGATGGAGAGCTCTCTGAATCAGTTCCTTTAGTGTGACAATTACTGGTTTTACTGATTTCCCCTTTCCTTTCTCAGTCCTCTGCTTTTTTCTGCCCAGAGGATTGGGATACCCTTTCAAACAGCATGAGTAGAGATGAAGGGAGATGCAAGGAAGGGGAAAATAGCCAAAAATTGCTTCCCTCCATCCTGCTAATGGAAATCTCTGCTGGATCAAAGACTTATCAGTGGAGAGACACCATTAGAAACAAGCTAGTATTCCTTTCAGCCTTTTGATGGTCTCTTTGAATTTCTTTTCTCAAACCATTCCCCACTACATGGATAATTTAAACAAAGAAGTGCTAATATTTTGCCAGCTCAGCCCTTTCTCTTTGATTTCTCAAAATGGGAGAGCCTATTGGCATATGACCTGAGACTACGCTGAAATTCAAAGTTTCTGAAAAGCTCATATTTTTACAGTAAGTCCCATGTAGCCAAAGCATTACAAACCACCTACATAAAATGTTAACTTCAGCTCATGTTGACATTTTTCTTCCAGAAGCATTTGTTTTGGGGTTGAAGATTTATGTAATTTCTTCAGTGTTGCAAAATGACAGTATAATCTCACTCAGTGTTCACAAAGAGTCTGAAATTCCATGCTGAGGTTTAGTGCAATGTCTGTTATATGGATGCCCTTGTTATTCATCCTCATACTACTTAATAATTTCTGACTTCTAGAAATGCTCCCATCTACGACTGATGCACCAAGCCAGTCAGAAGCCTTGCTACAGAAGCAAGCTGTGGTGGTGTGGAACGATTCTTATGGGGATTGGAGAACTCGGGAACTTTGCTGCGTATGGCCTTGCTGCGGCTATGGTCATCGCTCCCCTAGGAAGCATGGCTGTCATCGGTGAGACCCCCCTCCCCGCCCCCGCAAATAATAGCAGGCTAATTGCACAAATGCTGAAAATGGATGAAAAGGGAAATATAAGAAAGCTTTCTTGATGGATGAGTTGGCCAGAACAGGTTGTAATTTAAGTAGTTATAACATTCTGGCTCCACTGGTACAGCATAGACTTAGGAAAGAGGATTCTTTCTACTTGCTGCTGCTTGTAAAAAGAAGCCCTGCTGATTTCAGCTGATTTTCCTTCTTGCACAGCTCTCAGTGTCACTCCCCCACAAAAGTAGCTTTTCAGGGAACACAGTTGTCTGTACTGGGAAGGTGGTCATCATAAGTCCTCCTGCAGAGTTGGGCTCATGCATTTATGGAGGCAAGTCACAGGTTCTTGTTTGACAAACTTTTGCTTGGCTGTTATTGCTCCCCGTTTCTAATCTGGTTAAATGGCCTGAAGTTCCCAATTGCGTTGGGCCAGGGGACACTTTTGAGAGACTGACATGGACATTCTCACAAAATGGCTGCTTGCCCCTTCATAACATGGCCACATGGTGGGCCAGGCACAAAGCACTCAAGGCCCAGAAGGCAACCTGGTGAGGTACTTCTTGTGCCACTGTCAAAGACAGAAATCCTTCTGAAAATAAAGGGAGCACTCATTAGGTAATGGTTCCTAAAGCTTGTAGCGACTGTGTTGGTGCCTTGCAGGCATTTGGAAGCACTAAGTATACATTACTCAAATGTGGGGTACCCATGTGCAGCTGTGGGAGTGGGATTGTGCCCTTGGCTTTGCTGCAGATGGTGCATCATCAGTGCTGTTCTGCCCTTGGGCTTCCATCTTAAGTGTGGAGGTCTGCACAGGACATTCTAGCTACCCCATGCCTTTCAGGCACCTGTGGCATTGCATAGAGCCTCAGTGCAAGAGGTCGGGGATGGAGTTAGCCCAGAAGTGTGTCATTAGAGGTGAGGCCGGGAGCAAGCCCTGGCGCCTGCAGTTACACAGGAGTGCCATACACATGAGTAACATGTTCACAAGGCTGTCATTTCAGAGAGATTTGGAACTGCTTTAAGCCTAAAATATGGAACATATCACTGCAATGGAGGCTCACATAATAGAAAGCTTCTGCACAGAACTTTCCTTTTACACAAAAAGCTAACAGTTCTGGGGAGTACTGAGAGAAAGATAGATTTCGGCTCTTTCTGCTCAGTATCTAGTTTTCTATATACAGGTTATTTTATACTCTTTAGCTATGTGCTCCCCCCCCCTCCCCACTGCCACCCACTGTCTCAGTAGGGCCAAGATACATCTACCATCATTTTGAGAAGCATAGTGCTTGCGCATGTCTGTCTCTGCTCTTCAGTCATACAGCTGGAGTTTTATGTTGCTTGGATACCAGTACTTTTTGCTCATTAAAACTGTCATCTTAATGTTTCACATGAACTGATGATCTAAGTAAATTTGTTTCCTAAGTGCATCTCAAAAAATCTTTTTATTATTATCGTAATAATTTATGTAGCCCTCAGTAGCTTTTTGCAGTAGTTATATTTAAACCACTTATAAAGATAGAAAAGTTATGTTTCCTCAGGGGGGAAATTCTTGCTGATGAAGCAAGCATACAGTCTGCTGTTTACCTCTCTTTAATCCCCTGACAGCATTCGAAACAGGACACCAATCTTAATAAACGTTTTGTAATTCCAGGAACCATCTGTGTGTTTTCTGTTGCATGTGCCATTTTTCCTAATGGATGTTTCCATGGGTCACTGGCAGACTAGATCTGTGCTGCTTTTATTTGTTTTAAAATTTAAGAATAAATGAAATTCTTGCAGCTTTTTCAAATCCATGTCCCCTTTCACTAAAAATCATAGATAATCTTACAAAAATGTGCATCTAGGACAGACTAGGGCTTGATCTATTTAGGCAGCAGAATGAGGTAGGAATTAGATCACGGTGGAAATTGTGGCCCTGAGTAGCACAGCCATTGGTAAGGCCTGATGGAAGTTGCAGTCCAGCGACGTCTCAAGAGCCATTGCTTACCATCCCTGAAGTAGGTCTAGAGTCCTGAGTACCACCTGAGGCAGTAGGTGAAGCTCATATTTTTTCAGGCTTCTCTACAAAACTGGGGTTGTGGATTGTGCCAGGGTCTTTTTCTGTGTGCTGTTCCATGCAGGGCATATGATTTTTTAGAGCATAGCCTTTCCCATCAGTCGTCTGAAGTGGTACCCTACTGTACTGCACATGTAAACCAGGCATATCTCAATGATCAGGCACATTGCCACTGAGAGTCAACCAAAAGTGCCTTCTTCATGGCATGTCATTCTTATTCGGGCCGAAATGTGTACAAATACTGGCCATCATGATGTGTCAGGTAGCATCCTGGTGGTAACGACAATGTGTGTCCATTCTTCAAACAGGATCTGGGCAGTAACTGGACCCTTTGTACTATGTCCTTGTCTGGCAGACAGGTCAGAATGAAAGAAGCCATGGTGGAAATAGTATGTACCAAAGTGATAGGATTAGATGGGTTCTGGTATTGAGAACCCACAATTGCCAAGGGCAATTTGCATCTGGACATTGCAAGAGAGGAGTGGGTGATGTTTCAGGAAGTTAGAGAAGACAAGATTTAAGGCAATAAAGGAGGAATGGGTTTTTTAAGATGTACTGGGCATAATATTTGCTTGGTGAATGCATAGCCATGATTCGATTATCGTGTAGCTGCAAAAGAGGGCTTGTGGGAATAAATTAACCTAGTTTCAGCACTGCTGAACTGGGCTTAATGGATTACTTGCTTTTAATTACTATACAAGGTCAATTGTTGATGTAACTTTCAGGTCTAAATTGAAAACTGCTTTTGTGGTTCCTTGTCTATGGTCAAAAATAAGCTCTGAGTTTTGTGTTGTGAATTCATTGTGTTGTGATACCCTTCATTTGTGTATATTTTATATCCATTTGTGCAAGATGCTCACTGTCTTTAATTTTATCAGTGTCAGGATGAATAGTAGATGAACAAACAATGAGATAGACACCCGGCCGAAATCGCTTTAGCCCCTAAGAGGTGGTCAGTGGACACATAAGGGAGTAGGAATAGCTCTCCTCCCAGCTCACATTGGTATGTCTGTCAGGCACTGCCACCATGACCCCAATTCTGCAAGCAGTTGCATATTTACTGTTCATGTAGGACCTCTCTGTCCAATCAGGACCCCTAGCTGATGGTCATTCCCAACTGGATGGAGGAGTCCTGAACACATAGAGATGTATATGGAAAAGGTCTAAACATTAGGTTAGGGTTATGCACGCTTCCATAACTGTTTATCTGCATCACAGCAAAAGCAGAATTCACCTTAGCAGACATGGAGGATACCTGTCTGAATTTGACTTCCTTCAATGACCATACTCTGAAATGCACCAGAGAATTGGTCCTCAACAAAAGGCAAAAGGATGTCAGTCTCCAGCTGTCAATCTTTATGTAGTCAGAATGGCACCATTCATGCACGGAAGGGGCAGATCAGCAGGCTTACCGAAGCCCAATTGCAGTGGGGCTTGTGATGACCACCTTCCCAGTGCAGACACTCGTATTCCCTCAAAAGCCACTTCTGTGGGGATGTGGCACTGAGAAAGAGAGAAATGGCCGTGTACCAGAAGGATTCCTGAAACCTCACAGAAATACCTGCTGAGACCAAACACACATTAGAATGTTAGGGCAAGGGGTGCTTTTGTGCCCACAGAAGTCCCTTTGCTGAAGTTGATATTATTATTCTTAAAATGATGGGGCAAAGGGAGGTATTGTCCTTCAGCACCATCTTCATGTGGGTTCTGAAAAGTGTTTTGGAGTTCAGACTTGCCTCTGCCTTATACGTGATTTCTTGGACAAGCCGCTTGTCTTTTAGCCTCACCGGTTTGCCTTCCGGGGAATGAGTGCTTTGTGCCTGACCACGCCTCTCACGCAGCCATGATATGAAGGGGCAAACCTCCTGCACGGCAGCCATTTCACGAGATGCCCATGTCCGTCTCTCAAAGGTGTCCCCTGCCCAAAGCAGTTGGGCGCCTTCAGGCCATCTAACCAGATTAGAAGCAGAGAACAGCAACAGTCAAGCAAACGCTTGTCAGACAAGAAATGGCGACTTGCCTCCATACATGCATGAGCCCAACTCGGCAGTGGGGGGTTGTTTGAGCATTCCTACAGTTTCAAACCTTTCACTGGCCAAGCAGAACAGATTTTGGGTTTATAAAATTACTATTTGAGAACAAGTAGCCCTACCGAGTGCTACAGTAATATGGGTATCTTGTGCTTGGTTCTGAACTGATTTCATAGTCTTTATTATGTTCTCTTAATTACATGACATTAAACAGCCAATGTTTGTTCCCCAGGTAGTGCAGTTATATCTATCATGTTTTTGAAAGGGAGCATTAGATCTGAAGGCATATTAGGTAAGTAAACAATTGCTAAGTAAATCTCAACATCATTTCAAACTGAATACAAAGCATCACAGGAAGAAAAATGTTCTCTCTTTCTTTTTACACACACACACACACACACACACACACACACACACACACCCCATCCAGTGTTTGTCAGCTGAAGATAGCCATGACTTACTGCAGGTTGGCATGAGGCTTAACAGGTAGGACATACCCAGTTCAGTTCCAGAAAACCTGCTTGGGAGGCCTGGATTTTAATCCCCACTTCCACGGAACCTTCTGTTTCCTTTCTCCTGGAATAACATCTTCCTATTAACATGAACTAAATAGGCATTTTTCTGTTCATGTTCAACTTTTTTTTGCTGCCAGATGCTAAATTGGGAAATAACCTTTGATTAATTTACATATTTTAGTTTTTATGACAACAGTGTAAACTTTATTAACTATTAGGCAAGAACTAATTGCTTGCTCATTTTATTCAAAGCACTTTCATGTTGTTATTTGTACACCGGCTCCTTGTAATAAAACAAATAAATAAGACAATTTGTTTCTTTTATACTAATTTGGTCATCTCTGAAAGTATTTCAGCAATGTTTTGCTGGCACACTATCTTTATTGCGCAAAAGCTTGGACTTCTTGTCTGCCGCAGAAATATTTCTGCAAATCAAAATTGCCATGCTTCACAATTCATTTATTACTGGTGACTAATTCCAGCAAATATTTTGGTTACTTTACATAACACAGGGAGTGTGTTGCTATTTTTGGTATTTGAGACTACTCCGGCCAGTAACTCATATGGATAAATGTTGTTGACATATTTAAGATGACTGTACTTTTCAAACTTTGTCACAATATTCATTCGCACAGCAGCTGTCCATGCTTCTAGTTAGATACTCCCATATGCAGCCAGAATACTGAACAGCATTTCCGGCAAAGATATTGTTTTCTTTCCTTATCCTTCACCCAGCAAAAGGCTCCAGAACCAGTTGGCTGTGTGGACAAGTCGGCCCATTTTGGTCCCACAGTTTCCCCTACCACAATAGGACAGGTTCCATGCAGAAAATGGAAATGCAGAAATCTCAAAAAAACTGCATAGGCATGTTCATGGGAAACCTTTACAAACCAGAGAAAATGCATCTGAATCCCACCAAATATGAGGAGCATAAAAACAAGTCATCTAGGAGGGCTGCATGTGGCTTTCAGAGGCAGTCACTGAACACCTCTTTGGAGAGAGCAACAGCAGAAGAGTGATTGCCGTCCAGCGTTGGAGGCATCTGCTTGGCTTTGCAGGACACGGGGGGCAGATTCAGATGGGCCTTTGGCCTGTCCTAGTAAGGCTGCTCCTAGCTGTGATCACGTGAAGAATGTAGTCAGCTAAGCTGGTGTGGCAGTCCTGAGAATCTGCAGCTGGCCACTGGCTTCGCCTCTCTAGATGCAGGGAAAGTGTGTGCTGCGGTCCTATGTGATGATTTGCACGTAGCTTGTATACTTCTTTCCTACACAGAGTGTTGTCTGTGCAGAAACAGTCTCTTGTTTGTGAAAAGAAAGACTTTGGTTTCCTGTGGAAATTTGCCACAGATGATGCAGCTATAGTGCAATGATTGTAATTGCACAGCTGTTATGGATGTTTGCAGAAAGAAATTTAGTATTGCTCTACCAACCCTATAATGTTTAGGGATTTTTCATCCAAGTGATACATAGAGAATTCATCTCTCAGCTGATCATGTTCCAGTTCAGCCTTGTATCCTGCACATTGTTTTAACTAGAGTTCTGTGCTGATTTATTTTATTTCTGTGAGTTGTCTTTGCCATGGAGGTTTTTAACAATGTTGCTGCATTCCATTGGAGTTAGCTGTATAATGGCAGATAGGGTAACTGTTGGAGGTTTGTGCAAGCACATAAATATAGAACATCGAAGGCTTCCCCCCTCCTCCTTCAGATTGTGTGTTAATGTCCCATTAATGTTCTGTGCAGTATTTTTGTACCCCAGAAACTCACGATTCACATTGATTGATTGTGGGAGTGGGGACCTAAAAGCCATTTTTATTGCCAATTTTAAATTGGCCAATCTGCGGCAACAAGGAATGCAAGCTATGCAGGAAAGCACATGTTCAAGTACACTCTGTCACAAGCCCACGTCCTACTTCACATGAATTCAGTTGCCTGTGCAACTATGAACACTGCAGAAGGAGAAGGAGAAGGAGAAACCACAGCAGCTACCTTTACTGCTACTGAGCCTGGTTAGAATGCAGCATCCTCCATTTCCTGTGCTACATTCATTAATTCATTAATTTGCACATTGCTCTCCCCTCCTCTGGGAAGTACTCTCAAGCACCCATGTTCCTTTTGAAGACTCCTGAAATATTTCCTAGAGGAAAGCTTAGTGTTAGTAGCCATTAGTCTTGAAAGGTAGGAGCCAAGAGGGCATGGAAGCATCCCAGTACATCAGATGCATTAGTGGGTGCCAGCTCTGTATCCAGACAACTGTGACATGAGCTGTGGAAACCTTGGTTTTTTTACTTTTCCCCTTCAGAATGACCCACTCCCGAGCCCTCTCCTCAGTTAAACTAAGAACTGTCTCCTCAGTGCTGTTTATATTTGACTCCAACCAACTCCAGCCTTCCAGAGTTCCCCAAGTGGCCATGCCTGACCACTGATTACTTGGTGGCTTCCTGGCTTTTATGCAGTTGTTTCCCTATTTCAAAAGGTTTATTTTATGTATTTATTTATTACATTTATAATAAATAAGGGGCTCTCTGGGTGACTCACAATGAAGATAATAGTTAACATGATTAGATAAAACCATAAACAGAATAAAACTATAAAATCCAATATGCAATGTAAAGTCCAATTAATATGATATACAAGACAAGAGCTCAAAGTGTTCAAAGCAAGCAGCACAGATATCAAATAATAATAAAATCAAGATAGCTTGCTAAAAAACTCACCTTCCTAGGAAGACTGATCCATAAGCGAGATGCAATAGCGGAAAAGGGTATTGAAGTATCTCTCTTTAGGTTGAAGAACCTCTTATAGAAGGTTGAAGTGTCTCTCCTAAGGCGTAGTTACAGTAGGAGTTTTAAGTTAACATTAGGGGTGGGGGAGTTGTTTGTTTGCTTTTTGGCTCTGCCTTTCACTCCTCCAACCACTGTAATGCACCTGACTGCTTCTCCAAACAGAATTTGGCCCTCAGTTTGGAAGAGGCTCTGTACTAGTGGTGAATTGTAGCCTGACAAATTCTGCAGGAACCCATGTGATAGAGCTCCATATTACACATTTTACTTGTGGATTGTGATACCTGCCTTCTGGTTCCTGCACAGGCCCTTGTCAGTTCTGTTCTTTTTGATATATCTGATGCACTCATCTTCTAAGGTGATCTATCTGTTATCTGGTATAAGTTAGGTGGGTGGTCTGGAATTCCAACTCTTGATCAAATATGAAGCATTTTTTAAGAACTTGACAATCATTTCCTTATCATGCCCTATGTATTTGATTGGAATGGGATCAGAATCTCAAACAACTTCTACCTAGGAGATAAAGGAAACCCATGATGCCTTCACATTGATTTTTTTTAATGAACACTTTGTTTGCTTGTTTGTTAAATTTGCTAAATAAATTTGTACAGAATCATAGTATCTGAATCTTCATCTTTTTACTGCCATTTAGAAGACTGCTTGGGATACTTCCAGTTACATATTCTGTAGAAATAACACATTTTTCTAAATGTATTTTATTTTAAAGGTGGAACTATGACCATTGCAGGAACATTTTTATTGGTGACATTTGCTCCACGCATTACACAAGAACTCACAGCAAGAAAGATACAGAATGATTTAGTAAGCTGGCAGTTCTTGATTTATGTGGTGAGTATAATTGGCCGTGTACAAGTGCAACTTGCAATGGATTGCTTCTGTACACAGCTCCAGCATGGCATGTTTTCTTCCAAGGTACTCCTTCCCATTCCTGCTCTTTCTCCATTCCGACCCCCACCCCCAATGTCACTCGGCAATTCATAGCCTTTGAGCATGCTTGGTCATTCTTGGGCTTTTTCAGGATTCCTCCCTTAAGTTCTTTTGTTTGCTAAAGTGTTTATATTTCTGGAAACTTTGGCGCTCCCCTGCCCCTGCTGATACCACCCTCATCCACTGAGTGGATAGTTTTTGAGGGCAGTACTTGCAGTGTTGCATTTACTAACAGTATAGGAGCATTCAAGTGCTCTTTCACTGCATGACAAGGTAGAGAGTCAAACTGGTTTCCTGTGGGACAGCTTGTTCTCTAGATCAAGGATGCTGCTGTTTGTTCACTTCAGCTGCTATACCTTCTACATTCCTTGGGTCAAACAGGGTGTGAATTTAAGACTGCCTCTCTAAGCTGTATGGAAAGTGCAAAGAAAGCCAGGTTGTGTCTGTTGTGACAGAGCATCTGTGGTAGCCTGGTAAATTTGTCTTGCCTTTTCCCCCCGTCTGCTGTGGAGAATTTAATGGTGCATTGTGTTTTGTTCTGCTGAAGTTTGTTGTATTGTTAATTTCATTTATTTTTACGTTGCCCAGAAAATGTTCTGGAAATTAGTATAGACATATTCGTTGCTATATGTTTCACCATGTGAACAGTCTTTCCATCCTTGCTGAGCTCATGTTTCAGGCATCCTGCAGCTGAATTTCCCTTTCCATAAATAGCACACCACTGTTAATCTGTTAACGAAGGGTCAGTTGCATCTGTCCCAGCTTTGGGTCCCTGCTTTTGAGCATTCTGCCTCTCTTGCTGATCTTCCTTCAGATCTGCTGCCTCCAAAGCAGTTTGTTTCACTACCCCTGAATTTTTGTGTACGGAGCCCCAGCTTTCCCTAAACCCCTTGTTCCCTTTTTCTCTTAAAGCTTTTCTCATGAGGCTGTTAATCTGCTGTATCTACTTGCAGTTTTGATGTAGAATTGAGATGCCAGCTCCACACCAGGAATGCTTCCTTTGATGCTATTCCACTGCATAAACTCTAGGTGGAATTGTGGTACAGAAGAATAAGGCAAATACCCAAGAGGAAAGATGCTTTCTTTCACTTTCAGAATTAAATGCTACATTTCCCTGCTATTTTAAAAAATCCCTCTTAAAAACTCACCCAAATGCTGGTTAGACACAGAAACAAAACTAGAGGATCGCAACATTATCTAAAGAAGCCATAACCATGAGTATGAAATAAAAAGTGTGCAATAAATACTTTGTGTAGAAATACCCTTGGTCAGATTAGACGGGAAACTATAGTGGAGTAGTAAAGTGGCCAGTTTTGCATGCAGAAAGTAATGCGTTTACAGCCACTGGTGAGTTGTTGTGTTGTGCAAACCAGATCACAGTGTTTCCAGCATTCCTGAAAGAGCCAAAATGAGGAGGAAAATGTGGTGGAGGAAAATAACAGGCTCCCGGGATGCTGCCGTGCTACCACTTCCTTTGCTTTGACCTCTCCCACCCCCAGAGCAACTCTGAAATGGATGCTGGCCCTCCAGCTAAAAGAGGTTCCCTTCTCTTGATGTGTAGTTTATAATAAAATCACGCTCTAGATAACTAAAATAAATGCTCAAGAAATGGTCCTTTCTTCCATATATCTGAAATGCAGACATTTTCCTCCTCTGCTGCTTGAACAGGCAAGTGCTACAATAATAGAAAAAGTAGTGCTCTGTTCTATGCCATGTTGAATTACCATTTTTAATTCTTTTCCCAGAATTCCATGGTACATTTTCAATAATATTAAAGGCGCTCCAGCATCAAAGCATCCACAGCCTTCACAGTTCTGTTTGCAGGAAATAAAAAGCTCCCCTTTTCCTAGTGATTTGTGTGGACTGGGTGGGTTATGCACAGGTTGCATATTCTACTTATTGCAGAAGGAGACATCAGTAGTAGCTGCAATGGCATCCCATTGCTTCCTTCCCCTGCCAAGCATGTGCTCCCTCCTTCTGCCAACCCAAAGCAAGGATAATTGCATACAAGAAGAATGGCTTTTTCTCTGGATTGGCTGTGTTTGCCTTCAGTGACTTTGACATGGAGGCACAGATTCCAGTATGATCCTGAACTGGCTGACAGAAACCACCCAGTGAGCTTTGGCTATTAGAAATAAAATAAATAATAATCTTATGAGAAAGAAGCAACTTCGGTGAAAGACAAAGTGTGGTACCAGAATACTTATCGGCTTGAACTGTGAAAAGCTGTGGGAAAGAAATTTGTAAGTGTTTCAGAAAACATTTAAACACCTCTCCTCCATTGTCCTTTTCACACCAAATTTATTTGCTCACAATCACTGTTGCTACTGTCCTAGTAATAACCATGTGTTTAGTCCTAAAAAAATCAACAGATATCCCTCCTTCATCCTCTAGGTTTCTGCGTAGCTTTTTCCTCATAGTTATGGTAGCCACTGCAAAGCAACAGTTCTTTAGCGACCTTGGAATGTATCCGAGGTCAAGCCCTACCTTTAAGGAGCGTGTGGTATGATTCTCCAACTCAGGATGCAGTCGGGGGATGCCCCAAGTCAGTCTCTTTGCAGTCTGGGGACAAACGTATCCATGACATGGTGTCAGGAGCAGCTAACCTTTGGTTTTGTGCATGGCTGCCCCATATAGTGAACAGCTGAACTGTGTATTATACCCTTTACATAGGCAGTTTACTATCACCTGGGCTGGGGGCTGGATCCTAATGGACTAGAGGAAACACAAGAGGGTTTCCTGCTCTAGGTAAGCCTTGCTTGAGCTGCAAGATATTCCTGAATTCTCATGCCTTCCTGCAAACTTTAGTCGACCTTCAGACCTGACTACTGGCTTTTTCCCATGGTGCCTGCTGCCTGGTCTTGAAGAAAAGCTGGTCAAAATCCTCCTTTCTCTCTGGCATGCTAGATTTCCACAAACAGGGAGTTTCTTCTCTTTGACTGAGGTGATCCCATTTATGAAGGGTGGAACATGCATAAGCAGGACATACCACCTTTTAATGGGGGGCCTTACTTGTCTGTCTCTATGAAGCCAGGGCAGTGGATGGCTGGTTAAGAAGAGAAGAGTTCATAAACAGTGCGGTTTGGGGGAGCTCCTAAAACGAGATTGTGTTTCCCAGGGCTACTCCTGTTGCCTTAAAAGTAGTGCTGTCTGTGTGCTTGTTTTCCAGGTGGTATATTTGCAGATGGTTTGCAAAGATGCGTTATGTGTCCACTGCCCTCATTTCTAGAAATAAATTGACTCTGTAAAAAGCTGCCCTGGACTAGAAAGTATGAGTGCAAATCAATACTTTCAGGAGCCTGACATGATCCTGAAAGAGGGAGGCTTTGTGTGTGGTGTCCTTTGAGCAGGAATGCCTGTTTATGGGAATCTTGGCAGAGTGGATAAACATGATTTAAGAATCAGGAATGCATAGGATTCAAAATAAAGTCCAGCATGATCCCTCCTGTTTTGTAATCCAGCCATGAAAAAAGCAGAATATTTTGTGCTCACTTTTTAGAACATATTGGGTCAGAGCAAAGGACAGTCTGATTCAGTATTCTGTTTGCACAGAAGGTCCCCAGATGTTTTGGGGGTACCCATTACAGAACCTGAATGATGCTGATGGTTATAGATGCCCATCATCACCAGAAGCCATTGGAGCTGTAATGGGTGAGATGCAAAAGGATGAATTTAATTTATTTAATTCAGATCCATTAGCTATACAGTAAGTTGCCATAAAAATCCAAATTAATAATGATCATGCCAGTCTCCTAAAGTACTTTCACCTTTAAGAGACACCAGAGTCAGTTCTGAGATCAGGGGCTTGCGGTGGGCTTAGTCCCCCTTCACTGCCCCTTCTTTCCTTTCTTCTGCGCAAACTCCTCTCACACTTGGTCTTCAGTGCTTACCAGTGTGGTGCTGACAAGGCTGCACAGATGTCAGTGTTCACACTGATTAGCTTCGCACCAGTATTTGCAAGCCTATTTCACACTCAGGTTGCACCATTTGACTTGAAGCAAGCCATGACTGGCATTCACACCCACATAAGCCTAACCCTGCACATGTGAGCTTGGGAATGAGAAGGGAAGGTGCATTTGCAGAGGAGGTGAGGAAGCCTGCAATTCCTAACCATGATTAAGGGTGCAGTCCCACAAGACAGATGCCATGTGGATGGTGGGATCTGTTCTTGAAGCCCTCTGTCCAGCCAGTCCCTACCAGCACAAGCCTTGTAGGACAGGAGGAGCTTCAGAGACTTGGGGGCTGGGGTAGGGTCCTCCATTTCTGCATGTTGAACTCGGTGGACCCCTGAGGCCATCCAGTTCACTCTGCTTGGTCTTGGTAAGGCCAGAGACAGGAGGCTTCTGCCCCCCTCCCTGCTCCACCCACTGGCATGCCCCTTCCTTCCCTCCCTGTTCCCTTTATTTTTATCATTTCACCATACGCCATAACAAAACCAAATATACATATAAACAGAATACAGCACAGATGCCTAAAATCATAACAGAACAGTAATCATACATAACAAAACACAGATGATTAAAATCAACAAGTTTGTTTTAAGCAATCTACCACATGCTTCTCTGTGTAAATTTGTCTCAGTCTGTCTGCAAAAATGTAGAAGGGGCAACTTCTTCAGTTACTCAGCTCTCCTTCCTTGCACAGATTGGGGTGGGGTGCGGTGGGGTGGAGGGTGGCAGGGAAGTAAGTTTTCTGAAATATGGGCCAGTAATGAAACTGAGAGGCGAGCTCGAGGTTAATCTCTGTTGTTATCTTATGTATAGGAACAAATAATGGGGAGGCCTCTCGCACATCACCTGCATTGCAGTTTGATTGCCTCCCGTTTCTTTTTTATTGATTCTTTTCCATAGCTATAGGAACAACAGTCTCTGTTCTTTTCCCATGCTATCTCCTTACATTGTGCACATTTAGACGAACATGCCATATACCTTTTATCTATATATTGTTAGTAACATGTTACACATAGACAAAAAGGGGCTATGAGCCCCCCCCCCCACAATTAATAATTGATCCTTTATTTTAGAAATTATTTCATTTTAAACTAAATAACATTGCTCCTCCTAAGTGGGACTTGGGCTTTTATACATGGTTGTTAATTGCTGTATCTTCTTTCAGTTTTGTGACAGCTTGGAGAGCCAAGCTCTATGCAAAAAAATCTTTCTTTCCTGCATTCCTGCTACATAACCTCTGGATGGAGCTGTGATATACTGGAATAACATAAATACACCAGGAGAAAGAACACCATTTGTTATAATTTACTACTTAATTTCTCCTGTTCTTAAACAAATAAATGGAAAGTGCTCTGAAAAAAACAGAAGAGAAACTGAAGGATCAGGTCTTCATTTTAAAAGAGTGCACAAAAAAGCCCTTGGTAGAAAAGCTCTCGGTTAGGAATATGCGTCTTATGATCGTATTGAATGTTGGTCCTACTTAAAAGAGATCTATTGAAATGAATGGAGCTTTTAGGCCAACACTGGATTCAACCTTATCAGTTAACAGGCAAACATTAAGAAAAGAAATGGGAATAATGAGACAGTGTAAAAGGTATAATAAATGTGTGCTTGGGTAAATTTGTGGAAGAATTCCATACCAAATATATCTATTAGTCTTCTTCAAAGTGAATACTTTATCTGGCTTTCATCAACCCCTTGTGAGATGCATTTGATGATAAGAATTGTGAAAACCAATATGCAGAACAATGTTTCTTATTTTGCTGGGACAGCCCCCTGCTTTTGGCACTTAGTCACTGGTGTTACATGCTTGCCATTATGGAGTCATGCCCTCACCCTGCACCATGCACAGAATTTTACAAGGGATCCAGATGTTGTCTTCTTCAACTCACAAGTTTCTTGCCACTTCTTCCATTTTTTTTCTTACCATAGATAGTCCATCTTTTCTTTCTTCATGAAATAGCTGCACAATGCCTTCACATTGGTAGTGTGAGAGCCCTCTCACTGGAAGCATCACATGCTAGAAATTCCTTCGTCACTTAAAATAAGTGCATATATGTTAAGCTACCTATAAAAGGTGAAGTCTTTGCTCACTAGAGTGAGCATCTGCTTCTTTTAAACATAGCTTGTGTGCCTTCATTTCATCCAGAAGATACATTTCTCTTCCTCTTGTTTGCAACTTTGGGGAACTGCCCCAGAATAAGAGAGATGGACAAGGGAGAGATCAGCTACAATAGATCGGATTGCTTTCTCCTGCAGGGAACTGGTTGTGATTCTTAATGCCTTAGAAAGATCTGTATTTGTCTGGTATCTACATCTCTGCTAAATAACATCAATAGATATTGTGTGTTAATGGTTGACTTTATTACTTCTGTAATTCATTTGAACAGTTATGATAACAGCATTAATGAAATGAATTCCTTGGTTTATTGTGGTGGTGATGTATGATTGCAGTTGGCACACTGATATGAATTTGCATTTTTGTATGGCTGTTCTTGTGTGAGCTACTGTGGGCACTTTGTGTGGAAAAGCAGCATCCAAATTAAAAGGATGATATAGTTTCTAACCAGAGTCGGATTTGTTGGTTAAGGCTAATTCTGGCTAGTATGAACCTTGGCTGGTTTTTGTGCCACTTTTCCAGGAGTATGGAAACTCAGGTTTGCAGGCCAGATCTGATCTGTCTGGTTGCCTAAGCCAGCCTTCCAGGTTTACCCAGATGGCCACATGCCTCCTCTGGCTCCGCTTCATTTTTCCTTGGTTGCCAGGCATTTGGTTGCATGTCCTGCCCTCCCCATTCCAAGGTTGAACTGCCTCTCCTAAGGCTTCGTTGTCAGCAGGAAATGATTTAAGCCAAAGTAGGCTAGTTTTCTTTGGCCTTGCCCCATTTTGTCTTCAGGCCCCGCCAGCCACTGGAACACTTCTCCAAAGCAGATTGTGGCTCAAGAGGGGGAGAGGGCCAGTCAGTGTGGTTTTGCACAGTTGCAGCCTCTGCCTGGGCTGAGGAAAGCATGAAATAAGCAGAGAAGTGTGTAATCTCCTGTGACGGTAGATTATTAGACCATGATTAACTGAGGAAAAAGTGATTCGGAGAAGAAATAACAATGACATGTGATGTCTTTCCTATTCAAAACAGTTAAAATGCACATGAAATCATTCTTTCTATGAAAGAGAGAATGACAGACAACAAGGAAACCTCCCCTGCCCTTATACTTATTCTTTTTTCTTTTTCTTTTTTTTTGTGGCGGAAATGATGCACTGTGCCTGAAACATGAATTGCTTGCAAGAATTATTTCTATTGCTTCTGGGACCCTAAAGAGAGATGTCTGGCTGAAAAATAAGCCAGGGTAGGAGAGAGAACTTTGGATTGCTTACTAATTCGTTGTTCATAGTACAAATGGATGTTTGCATTAATGTGGCACTGAATACATGTTAAGGATACCCTGGAAGAATATGCTTTTGCCATTTTATTCATATTGAAAAATGCAGTTGCAGACACTGTGGTTTAGTTCACTGCATGTGAGTATTTTGTCAATGTCACAATTGTCAGCGTCTCAAATGAGCAAAAATGGGGATCTATTTTTTGAAGTCAATATAAGGCAGGAAAAGGAGGGGAGCAGGTCCCTTTTGAAAACTGAAAGAATAGCGAGGGCACTTGGGGTGATACAGACTTTATTATTCCTGACATAGGACATGTTGAAAAGTGTGCAGTAGATGGGAATACTGAAGAATTCTGTTCTGGATGCTGCTGCTGGTTTTTCTAAGTGAACCAGCCTAAGTCGCACTTACTGAATTATGCACGTCTCCACATTTTCTGATGCTAAAAACACGTGCCTTTTTTAGGGGGAAATACATACAACAATTGACAGAACAGACTTAGGACTGAGTGCATATAAAGCTAGGCCAGTAATAAATTGATCTGCCAATTCCTACAAGTGCTCCCTACAGGACCAGATCCAGAGGATGGTGAGGCTGGGCATTTGATGGAGCTGCATGCCACTAATGGTTCCACTGGTCTAACAGGGGCAATGCTTTCACTTTGCAATGTTAACTGTTGCTTGGTGATAGAACAGAGGCTTTGTATGCAGACAGACTCAGGTTCAATCCCCTGTTTCTCTTGCTATAGAAGAAACTTACTGCCAAAAATGGGAAGACCTCTGCCAAAGATGTTGGAGAGCTGCTGCGACTCTGTGTAGAAAAAGCTGGACTGGATGAGAAATATTGATTGATTTGATTTATATCCTGACTTTCTGCCAGAAAAAGTAATGTTCAGATGCACTGGCCAGATATAAGGCATTTCTGCATTAGGTGGAGGCAGCCCAAGATGGTCTTGCATGTGCATGCCTCATCTCTTTTAGGTTTAGGATCCCTGCCCCCCAAATAAATCCTAGCATCAGTGCTGGAAAGGTAGCCCCTTAAATGTGTCTACAGAGCAGTAATCTATGGCCCAGATGGAAGCCACTTTGAAGTGGGAATGCTATGCATGCAGGGGTGTTGCTGGTGATTATGAAGCAGCAAGTCTAGGCCATATGCAGTGTTAAGGCAAACCCATCTGTAAAACGTCTTGTAAAGTGGCCTCTCCTAGCATACTATTAAACACTGCTGGTATATTTTTCTTTTTTGCAACCTTTTGACAGGTACTTGGCTAGGCAATGACTGAAAACCAGTGTTCAGTTACAAATGCATTGCAGGTGTTTTTGAACAGAACTGTAAGCTTTGTCCAAGTTTTATATTTTAGGGTCGGGGGAAAAAGAATCAATGAAGTAATTAATGGAAATGATAAGAAAGATGAGCCATATATTGTGGCTGCATTCTTCAAGTCACTTCCACTGGAATAGTCTCTTTGCACTTGGTTGATAGGTAGTTTTTACCTTCCCTAAGCAGGATGCTACATGAGAGTAATGGCTCTGTATTATTAGAGTTAAACTTGGATGTTTTTGCTTGCCAGATTATTACTGCAAAACTCTCTCTCTCTCTCTTTCTCTCTCTCCTTTGTTTTAAATCTTTTCAAGGCTATAAAAACAAAATAGGCACTTGAAAGAGTAGGAAAACTAAATGGCAAAATACGAACATTCTTAGTTTTGGGAAAGGTTTATGGGAATAATTATTGGATAAATGGCAATGAGGTTACTCATCCCTTAAAGGGGGAAATAAGTATGTGACATCTTGTTAAAGATTTTGTCTGAAGCTTTTATTCTGCCTTTTAGCAACTGAACCTTTTTACCCCTTTTACCCTTTTTTTCTTTTCAGATCTTGGAAATAATAACATTCTGCATACTGTTCTATTTCCATAAAAGAAAGGAAGTGAAACACATTGTGATTCTGTTAGTAATGGTAGCACTGCTAGGTAAGAATCCAGAATGCCTACAGTACTTGGGGCTGACTCCATGCATGCTGGTACTTGGATCCTTTGCTTGCTTCTACTTTATGGTGGCTGCTCCCAAAGCTTTTTGCAGGGCCCAAAATGGCTTGTTCACTGCTGCACTCTCTTTTAAGCCTTGTATAAATGCACAGCAGGACATCATGGTGGTCAGTCATCTCTGGGGTGTCCTGCGACTTTTTTGCACAACAACACACCTATTGTGGCTTGCTGCATTGTGCAACTCATCCTTGGGAAGAATTAAACATTGCAACAGGTCTGAGTTTTTAAAAACTACTGTTTAGAATCCCCTTTCATGTTAAACATAATATCTCTGTAAATAGAAGACTGGCATGGAAAGGAAAAGGGTTCGAGTTCAGCACTTTGGCTCCTGCATTTTATTTGTAGGGTGGCTTCAGTGGGACGCAGATTCAGACACGCTGTGGCCCGACAGCAGTCAGAAGTGGTGTGGTCCATTCTACCAACTGAAAGCTCTGTCAGTTTTGTTCAACTGAACGGTAGGCAAGGTTATCATCTCCCCCTCTGGCATGCTCAGAGGGGGACTAGACACAGGAACAATCTGCCTGTAGTACATCCCTCTTTAGATCCGGCTGTTGTTCTTCTTACCTGTGAAATACAACACATATCTGCTGGCTGAAGGTGCGTATTGGGACACAGTGGAGGTGAACTTTCCCTCACTTCTGAAACAAGGCACCTGAGGCAGTTCCAGTAAGTGCACCGAGCCAGGTAGATTCCCCACACAGCTCATTCACACTTCGTACTGTACACTTAAGGTAGATTTCTGAATAGCAGAGGTTTGGCTTTGGCACATCTGTTTGGTTTTGTGTTTCATTTTATTTGTTTAGGGAATGTATATTCAGACTTCAATGTTGCTTACTCCCAGGGCTGTGTTTCTGTTTCCTGGCAGAATATATTGTACTGTTTGCCATGGCATGAGAAGCTGGCATGCAGATGCGATCTTTTAAAACCAATATTTATTTATTCCATGGGGCTCCCCTCCATGAGGCCCACACCTGTTTCATTTCAATGATGCTGTAGCATCAGGTGCTCCCCAGTTATTTGTTGGGCCCCTTGATGTGCAAAGTAGCACTCGGTGAGCTTGCTGCTGGTTGGAATTTTATGGGCTGACACCTTAAGAAATTCTTGATCTCAGAAGGAGTGAATTAGAGGGTGTCTCCAAAATGCCATGTTGCTTGAAAGGAGATTTTGCCCAGCATCGGCTAAAGTAAACAAGGCAATAACTCAAGCATAAAAGGTCAGGCCTATCAGAAGCATATACAAGCCACGTGGCTAAGCAGACAACATGAGACATACCCAGTTTCTGTCTCTGCACTCTCGTTTGCATACATAATTCTCCCCTTGGACTTTTAGTCAAAGCAAATAAAAGATTGTACATCTGTTTGTGTTCTTCATGGTACACTCAAACTGAAACATGATTTCATTGTTTGCACAGTAAAATGCTCTTCACTCTGAAAGAATCAAGATTATGGAAATATGCCACAGTTCCTGGAGAACTCTTTTAAGCAGAACCCATTGAAATGAATGGAACACAGATGAGGCACAGTGACTGGGGCACAAGGGCATAGATCAGGGTGGGAAGCAATGTCTGGGAGCCAAATCCAGCCCACCTGGGTCCCAACCTGGCCTGTTGGGTTCTGCAAATAGGTACACCCCTTTCTCCCAGCCAATTGCTTGGTGGTCTCTTGGTATTTGTACAGTTTTCCCACAATGTAACAAACTGAAATGCCTCTGCTAAGGTGTAGTTATTGGCAGAAAGACCTTTAAGTTATGACATGATGGATTTTCATTTAAGATTTTATATCCAGCACGGGCTGCATCATAAAGCCTTCTGCCAATAATGGGCCAAGTAATCTTGTGGCCCTTAGCAGCTAGAAGGGCACAGCATATCCCAGGGCTGGGAAAGAGCCTTAGGAACTTGAACCTTCTTATAGAAAAGAGTTTCAGCCTCAAAGCTGGAGATCCTTATGTAGTTTGTCCTTCCCCTGCCCTTGCAGCTGGCACGGAAAGGCAGAGAATGGGATAAAGTGGATGTTTTGGGATTGGGCAATGGGAAAGGGGAACAGGACTGCCAGGAGGTGATGTATTATGGTGGTATGCCAGCTTCCCTCCCAGTCCATTTGAAGCACTACAGCTAGATGGCCAAAATTAACTGTTTAACTCATGGTCAAGGTGTGAAGACAGCCTCTGTGGTCCTCTCATCCTGCATAGGATGTCCATAAGCCTCTGAGTTGAGAGGCTGATAAACCTTCCCACTGGATTGCACCCCTGGTCTAGCAAACTTTTAGTATGGGGGAAAGCTGGGAAGCCACCCCACTGATCCATAGCTGAAATATATATGGAAGAAAGGGGGATGGCTCTCTGGGTACCCTGGGCTGAGCTTCACACTTCCCATGGAGTGTTGGAAGTTGGTGCTCCTGCATTTCTTTGGTTTTGGTCTTCTATTTTGCCTTCTGATGATATCCAGTGTTATAAGGCAGCAAACTTTGAAAACAATACCAAAAATGTTGGAAAACATTCAGATGTTGGGCTCCTCATCTTTGGTGGTGAATAATCCTCTCCTATTGAACTCAGCTGGAGCAAAAGTGAGGCATCAATGTCTTCAGAATTTCCACAGCATCTGTGCTTTCTGCAGCTATGCTGAGGTGACATTGCTGTTTCCTACAACACACACACAAACTGTGAATCACAAATAGATTCCTTTAGGTACTTGTAGCCACGTGTGTGTGTGTGTGGGGGGGGATTATTGCAATGTGGCTCATTACTATGCATGCACTAGTGTTTGTTTATTTTTAAATATACAGGCTGCTGAATAACCCAGCAGGGCTCTTTAAGTGGCAAACAACAAGAAACTACAAGGCAACATTACAATTCCAAGTTATGGGGTTGTATGGGGAGAAAAAGAAAGAAAAAACTGCTGGTTGTAGTGTGAGCTCTTATGATCAATTGGTAAAATCAGGTCTCAAAATACCTGCAAAAGAAGACATTTTTCTCCTTTCTTTTCACCATCTTTTACTTCCTTTAGAGATGGCTTTTTCCAGAAGGACCTCATTCCCAGGTCTCAATGGGCAAAGGTGCTTCTTCATGTAATGAGATCATAAGCAGTTTAGGACTTTATATGCTAAAACAAGCACTTTAAATTGGGCCTGAGCTTCAACTGGCAACCAGTGTAATTTATATGGAATAGGTGTTACATGGGTTGCAAACTGATACTCAACACCAGATGCACAGCCCTATTTTGGACCAGTTGAAGTCTCTGGAGCATCTTCAAAGGCAGCCCTACATAGAGGATATTACAGAAATCCAGTTGAGATATTACCACTGCATGAGTAACTGTGGTCAAGCTCCGTCTACCCAGATAAGGTCATAGTTGTCGTATTTGCCATAGCTGGAAAAGGCACTCCTGGCCACCAAGTCCCCCTGAGACTCCAATGAAAGTTTTAGGTACAGAAGCATTCCAAGATGCAGCCCTGTCCTTTAGGAGAAGTGCATCCTCATTCAAGACAGAGCAGCAGCCATCTGATCTGTCAGATCATCAACCAACAGTACTTCCATCTTGTGTGGGTTGAGTATAAGAGTATAGGTCTGTCGTTTACACCAGTTTCCTGTCCATAAACTTGATCATGGCATGAAGTACATATTGGCTCCTAGGAGGCTGCCTTCCAGAACTTTGTACCAGAGCGGACAAACTCAGTTTGGTTTCAGAGGTCACTGCAGACCAAAAGGCTGTTTTCCGTATTTATCCCATGATAAAGGTATAGCACTACTATTATTTTGCTTGTGCAGTAGCTGAACAGGCTAGGGTCAGGTTTGCAAGAGGTGTCAGGAACTCCCTTGAACTCCCCTCAGCCTTAGCCAGCATGGCCTGTAGACAGGAATGCTGGGAAATGCAGTCCGAAACATCTCGTGGGTACCAAGCTGGAGAGGCTGATAATAGTTCTAGGACAGGAGGAGAGTGGGAGTAGAGGGCTGCACCATGCCTGACAAGGTAACTATCAACTCTGAGTGGGTCCCAGTAAAAACCTTCCCTAAGAAGAACATCCATCTAGCATAGCATCCCTCAGGAAGCCCAAAAGCAGAAGATGGAGACCATAGCCCTCTCCTGGAGATACTCTGCTGCTGCTCTCCAGTGGCCCATGACGTATGAAAATCGACGTTCCAGTCTTCAGGCTTGCAATAAACATGCCTCCATGAATCCATCAAGTCCCCTTTTAAAGCCCTCTGAGATCAACACACCTGCTTACATTCTGCCATACCTTCATGACATGCATGCCAATGCTGAAGGAGCCTTCCCTAATCTGGTGCCCTCTTGATGTATTGAACTTCATCATTCATCCCATCATTCCCAGCTGGTTAGAGAAGGCTGCACTGAAACTTGCCAGTGAAACCACAGCATCTTCTTGCAAAAGAGTTATGTGGAAGCTCTGGAGGAGTTTCCACTGTCCCTATCCACTAATCATATGTCCAAATTCCCTGCAATCTTGTATCTGCCACATTCTTTTTAATAAGCAGCAAGAACTGTGTTTTGCAGGCTATAGTAAAGTATAATTTTCCCTGGAATGGAAGCTGAAAAGTGTTCAGTATAAATCTTTGGACCGTGCAGCTCTGGAAACTGACTCCTTGAGAAGCACCTTGCTTCATGCCTAATCCGAAGTTTACGGTATGGCAGATGGGTGAGGCAAAGTGGGAGAGACCAAGCAGGGCTTTTGTGCTTCCTGCTTTTGCGAATGATGTCACTGTTCAGCTGCTGCAAGGCTAGCTAGAGGGGATCTGTTATCGGAGTCAGCAAAACGAATTCATCCGTCTTTGGTGCTGGGTTTAACCTGAAGAGCAATTTCTGTATTTAACATTTAAAGAGGCTCTTAGGGGCTTCCTATGCCTGATCGTTAAACTTATATAGAAGCTGGGTGGAAATGGTCCCGCCGTCTCTGATAATACTGTCAGCTTTAATATCTTCACCTTCCCACAATATAGCTGTCAGCAGGAAGGACGGAAATGGCAAGTTTTATTGGGAAATTTTTATTTTACACCATTTCGACTCTGTTTCCGCAAAGCCACATGCCAGCACTGAGCTCGTTGTGGTTTATCTCCCATTATTTCACCTTGGCGCTCATGTTGCAGTGGAGAGTTGTGGAACAGTGCCTCACCGCTGCAATTACTCCTGTAAATAACGGGCAACCACAAGCATAGAAGTACACAGACAAGCCCAGAGCTGCATTGTTGGAAGGTTCTGTCCCATTTCCCTGTTCATACCAAAATCTTCCCATGTCACATATACTAAGTGTCATTTATATAACCCGAGCTCAGTACCAGAGCATGTGCTTTGCATGCAGAAGGTCTCTAGTTCAGTTCTTGCCTGTAACCCTGACAAAGATAGACCAAGATGGGCTCGATACAAGGCACTGTCCTGCGCTCGTGTGTGTGCTGGAGATGGCAGTGGGTTGTTCCCACAAGCATAGTGCTAGGAACACGTGAGATACTCTTTTTCCTCTATGCAACCATGACAAAGGCTGTGTTTAAATTGAATAAAGAAATCCATGTGGCTTCAATGGGCGAGTCAGGCCATGTAATGCAGGGAGTCATGAGAAAGCTTTCCTAAATCAAAATCATACAGGGAATTCCTGATCATTCAAGAGAAGAAACACCAGAGGTTGATGGATAAGTATATAGGATTGGAGTACAATCAAATGGACATCTATTCAGATTAAATCCCACTCCACTTAATAGGGCTTACACCAAGGTAAGTGTGCATAGGGTTCTGTCCTAAGACTGTGGTAACTTCACTAACACATGCCTATTGCTCAGTAATTGCAACATCGGATTATGTCAGCTTGGCTCATTACAAACCAAATCAACTTTGGACATTAGAAATCAGATCAATATATATATAGATCAAGTGTCTCTAAGTTGATGCCCCCCAGAGATTTTGAACTTCACTTTTCATCAACCCTAGTTAGCATGCCTAATAGGAATTCTGGAAGTTGTAGTTCAAAATGTCTAGAGGAAGCCAACATGGAGAAGACTGATAGTAATATTTCACCCACTTTTTAGCTTGAGGCTGTCCACACATTCATTCAGGAGATGTCGAGTGATAAGATGTTTTGCTAATATGTATATGTCAATCTATTTATTCCTCCTCAGCATCTTTGAGCATCATTTCAACAAAAGCTGTGGCAACCATGATTATGGTTTCTGTGAAGGGGAACATGCAGCTCACCTACCCCATTTTCTATGTCATGTTCATTCTAATGGTACTAACTTGTACATTCCAAGTCAAGTAAGTTTAAAAATACATATCTTCCTGTATTAACTTGTTTTCCCATTATCTGCCTTTTTTTTTTTTTTGCTAATTTCTCTTTACCGTTTGTGTCACAGCATAAAAATACAGCCAACTTCTGAAACGTCCCTGCCAAGCTCAACTCTGATTGTTTCAGTCACAGATGCATTACTAAGAGCTCCACTTCTAGTTTTGATTTATGACCATGCTGCTTTATTTTGCTGTTAACTAGCCATGCAGGTGCTTTTACATTTGCTGTGGTTTTGGGGCCAAGTGAACCTTGCTGTTTTCCCACTGCTTTCTCACTCCAACATCTACCCATAGCTTTCAGTTCCACCACCACCCCATAGCACGCAGATCTGCTTTCACTAATTGCACCTTCTTCCCTACACATGCCTTGCCATGCCTGCTTTGTCTTCACTCTACTTCTTAAGAGTCTGCTCCCCTTTGATTTCTTGGCTGCATCAGCTGAACATTCAGTTTTTTACCAGGGGAAGATTGTGCTAAAGCTGGTGCGTATAACAGTATTTTGGTGTCTGGTTCTCCCTTAGGCCTCTGCAGGGTTGTTGTTGTGGGGATCAGACAGAGCAGGAGAAGGAGAAGGTTGCAAGGCTCTTTGAGTTCATTGTAAGAAAATAGTGAAATAAAAATCTAATTAAAATACTTATTATATTGTTCACTGCCATAGGGTGGCTTGAAATGTAAATTATTCTATTTAGAAAGTCACCTAGTGAACTCCATGGCTGAGTGGGCATTAGAACCCAGAATTCCTGAGTCCCAGTCCTGCTCTCTTGACCACTACATCACACTGGCAATTCTATGCACATTTGGACAGAAAAAATAGCACACAGTGCCCAGCCTTGCCCAGCCAGCAAGGGTTTAGGGACCTCAAGGGTTGCGCAGCATGTCCCCAAATATGAGTCACTGGGTAACAGCAGTCGAAGAGGGCTCTCCTCCTGTCCTTCTTGGGCACTTCCCCAGCCCATCTGGCTGGCTACTATGGGATTGCCAGATCAGATGTGATTTGGGTGGCAGTCTGATCTGGGAGCGTTTCTCCTCAGCTTTTAATTGTGGCTTATTCAGGACTGCTCTGTGCACTGGCAGCTGATGAGGAATGAGCCGGGGGCTGCAGAACTTTCACTTTTAGCCATAATGTTGCCCCAGCTCTGAATGAATGACTGGCAATGCAAACATAACTTGAGCCAGGCTGATTCAAAAGCTCTTTGCCCCCCTCCGGTGCTTTCATTCATTTGTCTAGGATTTCTTCAGCCCAATACTGGAACAAATGGCCAAAAGTAATGAGGTGTTTGCAGTGACTTTGAAATCCTGACTATCCCATGAATATGCAGGATTTTTATTTTTTATTTTTAAAGCTCCATGGAGACTGCTCAGCAGTTGCTAAAATAACCACAGAGTCATTCCTAATGTCTAAAACAGATTAGAAGCTGGACTTCTGACATTGTATCAATAGACCCTTTGGAGTATCACTCTGTTTAAGGGATGCAGGACTTTCGCTATAACAAACTAACCATGGAATCCTATACATGTCTACTCAGAAGTCCCTTTGAATTTAATGAGGTTTACTACCTAATAAGTGGGCATGAGATTGCAGCCTAGGCTTTCAATATTTAGATCCTGATCTACGTTTCTCAGGAAATGGCTCTCCACCAGTTGTTTTTAAAATGGGTGGAAAACCTCTTCCAGATGTTTT